TAAAGGGGGAGTCTATATGTGTGTCCTTGTATGGCTGGACACTGGTGGGGAAGTCTTTCTGGCTGTTCTCATTAGACTGGACACTAGTGGGGGAGTCTATCTGTCTGTCCTCATTAGGCCGGACACTGGAGGGGGAGTCTATTTGACTGTCCTCATAAGGCTGGACACTGCTGGGGAAGTGGGTCTGTCTGTCCTTCTAAAGCTGGACACTGGTGAGAAAGGAGTCTGTCTGTCCTCCTCTAGCTGGACACTGGTGGGGGGAAATCTATCTGTCTGTCGTCCTAAGGCCGGACACTGGTGGGGGAGTCTAATTGTCTGTCACCTCATGGCTGGACACTGGTGGGGGAGTCTATCTGTCTGTCCTCATAAGGCTGGACACTGGTGGTGTGAGTCTGTCTGCCTTTCCTCCCATGGCTGGACACTGGTGGGGAGAATCTGTCTGTCTGTCAGTCCATGGCTGGACACTGGTGGGGTAAGTCTGTCTGTCCTCCCATAGCTGGACACTGGTGGGTAGAATCTGTTTGTCTGTCCTTCCATGGCTGGACACTGGTGGGGTAAGTCTGTCTGTCCTCCCATGGCTGGACACTGGTGGGCTAAGTTTGTCTGTCCTCCCATGGCAGGACACTGATGTGACAAATCTGTCTGTCCTCCAATGGCTGGACACTGGTGGGGTGAGTCTGTCTGTTTGTCCTATAAAATTCCTTTACAACCGGTATCCACTACTCCTGCACAATCCAATATGTGTTCAATCCCTGGACGCCAGGATATTACTTTCTCCCCAGAAAGTTCAAAATCAAAAAGTCTTCCACAGCGTCCATTCAGTGAGTATCCCCTAAAATCATATACAGCCTCTCCTTCTTTTTCAGTATCCTTCAATGTGTAATTTTTACATCAAAATCTTCCTCTTCAACTTGATACCCTCAAAAAAATATATATAAACACACATAGTGCATTATCCTTAATACATCACAGCTATCTTAAAAGAATCACACTCACTGAAAAAGTGTCAAAATCCATGCGTATCCGCTCCACCACGAGTTCACTTCTATTCGTCTGCGATTCTTACCCTCGGTCTATATTTAACACCTTATGATAAGTTCCACAGACATTTATCTTCAATTCACAACTTCCTCTTTCCGTCCTCCCCTTCACAGGAGATATACCATCCAGAGAAACTCATATAACATAGTGTAATACCATCAATATCTCCATATAGTGTCCTCCCGCGCTCTACCCTTTTGCAATTGTGGCCACCAGTGAAAAGTGATAAAACCAGTCCACCACCTCACAGACCATGCCCCTTACCGGACTAAGATAGCATAGGGTAGAAACAGCTCTTCCCGACCAAAAGTATTCCCGGTTTTCCAATTGTAGCGATATGTAGGTCAGAATATATAAGCATACATAGTGCATTACATACTAAAACCAACGATTTATTCAAGTGAAAAAGCGCTTACAAAAAAAACAGTGCACTCCTGATCCAAACTCAGCATCAGCGTTTGTTCTCTCTAGACCTCATCAAAGATGGCCTCCGCGCAACTTCCGGTCTATGTCTGACGTCACCCCTGACGCGTTTCGTCATTTCCGACTTTCTCAAAGGATGTGTCCGTCAGACCTACGGCCAGTTAAATACTCTCCCTCCGCCCTACCGTGTGCAAAGGCCGCCATCTTAACCCCTGGGCACGGCGCCTCCCGGCCCTTTAAGGGTTTCAGAAGCTGGGAGGCGGGGTTTTATGGTCATGTGACCGCCTTGACAAGCCGTCACGGCGGTCACATGATCGGGAAAGGTCCCGATCGAAAGAGGAGATCGGGAGCTTTCCGGAGTACCAGACATGTGTGCTGGGAGCGCTCTCAGCACATATGTTTTTCTTTTAATAGAGCGCAAATGTGCGGCCGCTCGGACCCCCTAGGCCCAGACCCAGGGAGGCCGCACATTTGCGTTCGGCCGGTGCCAAGAGGTTAAATAGGGGCAAGTACACAGTTCTGGACATCTATAAAGTGCATCTTTCTTGCATTACCAAATACTTATTAAACAAGTACAACAATCTTAATATACATAACTATACATCTAAAACTAGTATATACATATTTTTTATAAAAGAACATAAAACGCATGGCAGTATCACTGGCCAACTGCCATCTAGTGATATATTATACAGTGAAGGAAATAAGTATTTGAACCCCTGCTGATTTTGAATGTTTGCCCACTCATAAAGAAATGATTGGTCTAAAAATTGAATGTTTGGTGTATTGTAACACAGAGAGACAGAATAGCAACAAAAAAGTCAAAAGAAATGCATGTCTAACAAACGATGCGTTTATTTGCATGTTCATGAGGGAAATAAGTATTTGATTCCCTATCATTCAGCAAGATTTCTGGCTCCCAGGTGTCTTTCATACAGGTAACAAGCTGAGATTAGAAGCAGTCTCTTAAAGGGAGTGCTGCTAATCTCATTGTGTTACCTGTATAAAAGACACCTGTCCACAGGAGCCATCAAACCATCAGATTCCAAACTCTCCACCATGGCAAAGACCAAAGAGCTGTCCAAGGATGTCAGGGACAAGATGGTAGACCTACACAAGGCTGGACTGGGCTACCAAACTATGGCCAAGCAGCTTGGTGAGAAGGTGACAACAGTTGGTGCAATCATTCACAAATGGAAGAAACACAAAACAAGTGTCAGTCTCTCCCTAGGTCTGGTGCACCATGCAAGATCTCACCTCGTGGAGTGTCAATGATCATGAGAACAGTGAGGAATCATCCCAGAACTACACGTGAGGATCTTGTCAATGATCTCCAGGCAGCTGGGACCACAGTCACCAAGAAAACAATTGGTAACACACTACGATGACAAGGACTGAAATCCTGCAGTGCCCGCAAGGTCCCTCTGCTCAAGAAAGCACATGTCCAGGCCCGTCTGAAGTCTGCCACTGAACATCTGAATGATGCAGAGGAGGACTGGTTGAAAGTGTTGTGGTCAGATGAGACCAAAATCCAGCTCTTTGGCATCAACTCAACTCGTCGTGTTTGGAGGATGAGGAATGCTGCCTATGACCCCAAGAACACCATCCCAACTGTGAAACATGGTGGTGGAAACATTCTGCTTTGGGGGTGTTTTTCTGCTAAAGGGACAGGACAACTGCACCGCATCAAAGGGCGATGGATGGGGCAATGTACCATCAAATCTTGGGTGAGAACCTTCTTCCCTCAGCCAGGGCATTGAAAATGGGTCGTGGATGGGTGTTCCAGCATGACAATGACCAAAAACACACGGCCAAGGCAACAAAGGAGCGGCTCAAGAAGAAGCACATTAAGGTCCTGGAGTGGCCTAGCCAGTCTCCAGACCTTAATCTGATTGAAAATCTGTGGAGGGAGCTGAAAGTTCGAGTTGCCAAACGTCAGCCACCAAACCTTAATGACTTGGAGAGGATCTGCCAAGAGGAGTGGGCCAAAATCCTTCCTGAGATGTGTGCGAACCTGGGGCCAACTCCAGGTTTTGGTACTACTTGAGCACTGACCCCCCCCCCCCCAGGTGGCCATGGAACACCATGGAGTTTGGTGAAAGTAAGTGGTCCAGATGCTCTTCCATGCTCAGGTGTCACTGGCTGCCTGTTTATTCCAGGTCAGTGAGTGAGAAGGTATAAAAGCCATTGGATCTGGATTGTCATGATGGCCAGGCAGCATGCATTTTCAGAAGCACGTCTGCAGTGATGGGTTTCTTCTGAACATGATAACCATCTTGTGTATTCTTCTGTATTTTTCAGCATCTTCTGCGCAGACTCTCGATGTGTATCAGACTCCGAACATCTCTGCCATTGAGCATGGCTTTGTCACCCTCTTCTGTAACTTCACCTTCCATGGAACGTCCATTGGCTACAGCAAATGGTTACCGCGACCATGCGGAAGGACATGAGGTGGCCAACACCAGTGAAAGCTACTTCGGCAGAGTGTCCATCGTCAGTCCAGAAGATTTCAAGTGTCGCAAATCCGCCAATATTCAGCTCCACCGGCTAGAGCTATCAGACAGCGGCCTCTATATCTGTGAGGTCACCCTGATAACGAGCCCCATACAGACTGCATACGGGAATGGAACCTATCTGGAAGTAAAACGTGAGCTACTAAAATCCTGTGAACTCAATCTCTAAAATCTCATAGAAGCCTCAAAATGCTCATGGTCATTTCTAAAGTTGTTTCAGATATGAAGCTTTCATTAAAATAATCCCCGGAGATTCTGCCATGAAGGTCTTGGTTCAGGCACTTCCTGTTATTGGGTCATAACTCCCTGGGTGTGTCCCTGCCTCTCAGTTGCCGCCATCCCCACTGTTTTGTGCATGGAATATCCCCCACCATTGAGTAAAAAATGCCCCAACTTTGTGTGCATGGAATGCCTCCCACCCCACCCTTGTACGTACAGAATGCCCCATCCCCCACTGCTTCATGTATAGAATAACCACCAACATTGTGTACAGAATGCCCCCACTGCTCATGTGTAGAATGATGCCATCCCCATCAGTGGCGTGGTGCGGGAGTGGAACAGCTTTACACGGTAGTCCGGGCGCAACATTTAGCGAGGCACAGAATTTACTCCTGTTCCACTCCAGGCCCCTCTGATTCCCCAAAAAAAAGGCCACCACTTCACTCACAGTACTAGTGCCTGTATCTCACTCCCACTGTCCTGGCCGAGACCATGTTCTGCCTCTGGCCACCACTGCCCACTTTCTGGTTGCTAGGACTGCCAGGCGTCTAATGGCGTCATTAATACAAAGAGAGGCCCCAGCATTCAGAGTGGGGGAGGATGATGTAACTTCTTCTCCTCCTAGTGTTCAACTTCACCCACCAAGGGGTGTATTTAGGTTTTGTACTGCCCTAGGCAACACAAAAATTGCCCCCCCCCCCCCCACGGAGAGACCCTGCCACCGACCAACTGCCCCCTCCCCCATGAAGAGAGCCTGACATTGACCAACAGTACCCCAGCAATGGATACTTACCCTAGCCCCCCCCCCCCCCCCCACCTGAGAGAGTCTTCCACCACCCCCCCATACGGTCGCAATCTCCCCCCACCACGGTGAGAGAGAAGACACTCCCCTTCACAGCTCCGGACATCCCCGGGAACAAGAATCAGGCTCTGCATACACCATCAAGCAGCCCGCAGCCTCTCTCAGATCCCACCCTGGTCCCCATGCTGCGTGTGTCCCTTCTTCCATCCCTTCTTTTCGGGGGGCGGCGCTGCCCACCCTCAAAAATGCCACCCTAGGCAAATGCTTTGTTTGCCTTGTGGTAAATACACCCCTGCACCCACCTCCTTCAACTTCTGCAGTGGCGGCCCCCTGCTCATTGCTCAGAAAGGGAAGGCGGGAACAGGATTTGAGTCTGTGGGGTGAAGCCGGGGATGGAACCAGTTGGGCTGTCATGAGGGAACTGCCAATGCAGGGATAAAAAGGTTGGCAGTTGAGCTGGTGCTGGACGCCAGAGTGCTCTCAGAGGGATTTAAAGGGCAGGAGGAGGTGGTCACATCCTTAGATTTCAGGAATTCATGCTTGGACTGGTAACCCTTCACTTTTGGTTGATGTGACCCCCCCAAAAAGTGAAGAACTACAAGTCCCAGAATGAACCCCTGAGGATTCAGGTGAGAACGTGACACCCCCTCCCAAAAAAAGTCCCAGAATAAAGCCCAAATAAAAATTTTTGCAAACGAGTAAAGCAGTTTTCGGCAGAAGAGACATAGAAAATGTCTTCTATCAGAAGGTCCACCCTGCTGGCACATTTGCAGGCAAGGTTTTCCATTGAAACATTTACAGATTTCTGTTCCACAAAACAAACCAAAAATAGCGATGTCAGTTTCTACATGAATGACACCATGGAGGCTTTTAGGGAACTAGAATCATTCAGAGACTTTTGATGTCCACTTCAAGGCTGAGGAGTCTGCTGAGTTCAGGATTTGCCAGCTGAGCCCCCACCGAGCAGCAACACAGGAATAGACTGCGACTCGGTGCTGCAAATTCCCGCTCAATATTCCATAGGCTCTCGCTTTCCTTCTCTCTCTCTTTTATATTAAAAGATAACTGTGTAGAGAACTCAATAGCTCAAACTGACATTTACATTGCAGTTCCTTCTCCTTATTGGATGGTTCAGTCTGTAGTTTCAGTCACATGCCCAGGATGAAAGCAGGGACCATCTACTGTGTTGTTTCCTTAGTTAACCCATAGTGCTCTTGCAGTCCTTTGTCAAGGGTTACGTATTTAATCGTAAAGCAAAAATTCAAGTTAAAAATCAGTTTGCAAACTTATAAAACTTTTTACTTATTGAAAAATAAGATTTACCCAGCGGCGTCCCAAGGCAGGTGCGGGGTGTGCGGTCCGCACCGGGTGACACCGACTGCACGGGGTGACACCGGACCCGCTCCACAAAAAGGTAAGTTGTAAACAAGCCGACGATCTCCACGGGATAGATCCGATCCATCCTGCGGGGATCGCCGGCTTTCTTTACAACTTACCTTTTCTTGGAGCTGGTCCGGTGTCACCCCCGTATAGCTTGCATGCCGATGATCCTGCGGGGATCGTTGGCATGAAACCTATACGGGGGCGACACCGGACCCGCTCCAAGAAAAGGTAAGCTGTAAAGAAAGCCGATGATCCCCGCAGGATGGACCGGATCTGCGGATTGAGCATAATGGATCGGAGTCTGATCCATTATGCTCAATCCGCAGATCCGATCCATTCTGCGGGGATCATCGGAGGGGGTGTCAACAAGTGTTACCGCACCGGGTGACACCAACCCTAGGGACGCCTCTGGATTTACCCCAAACCATTTTAGCTTTCTTATCACATAATTGTACAACATTCACCATATGCTAGTCTTGCAGGACTTTCCCAGTTAAAGAAAGTATAAAAAAAAATTCTTGTAGCACCTCTTCATGTAAAAATGCAGTTTACAGAACTCAATAGATCACAATGTCAACCATCCAGGCAGCTGCAGTCTACTTTCTTTACTGTAGGTGGAGCTCTTCCACAGCAGCACTGCAATTGCAGAGGAAGTCGAGAGGAACATGGTTCCTCTATGGTTTTTTGAGTCACTGGGGAAGCCATCCAATTGGATGATGTCGCCCCATGTGACTCTAGCAGCCATCTTGGGGTCAGGCCGAGCCTTTTTAAGGCCCTGGCTCCCAGATTTTGGGCATCTTTCGCGAGTGGGTAGAGTAGGGACTTGTACCCCAGCTGGTAGGGACTGAACTAGTGTCAGGGAAATGTTTCCGATTGTGGCTGACTTTAGAAATGGCTTTATGGCCCTTCCCTATAGTACAGCATGTTGTAAGCTGCACTTGGGACTATCATTTTTGCACTTGGGACTATCATTTTTTTTTTTCTTGCATTTTGCCCTCCAGATGATTTCCCCCCCCCCCCCCCCCCCCCTCCCCACTTAATGACCAGGCCATTTTTTGTGTTACGGCACTGCACTACTTTAACTGACAATTGCACGGTCATGCAACGCTGCACACAAATTAAATCTATGTCCTTTTTCCCAGAGATGGAGCTTTCTTTCGGTGGTATTTGATCGCCTGTGAATGTTTTATTTTTTGCGCTATAAACAAAAAAATACAATTTTGAGAAAAAAATTATATTTTTGACATTTTGCTATTTAACATGACCAGTAAAAAAATTTAAAAAATCAAATTTCCTCATAAGTTTGGGGCAAAATGTATTCTGCGACATGTCTTTGCTAAAAAAAAAATCCCAATACGTGTAAATTAATTGGTTATAGCGTCTACAAATGGCGGTATATATTTTTTTTACTAGCAATGGTGGCGATCAGTGACTTATAGCGGGACTGCGGCGGGCATTCTGACACTGGGGGGGAACTGACTTGGTGCCATTGACACCAATACAGTGATCAGTACTAATAAAAAGCACTGACACTGTACTAATGGCACTGGGCAGGAAGGGGTTAATATCTGGGGTGATCAAAGGGTTAACTGTGTGCTGTTTTACTATGTGCTTTCCACTGTACGCACACTGCTTTGTATGGCTCTGCTATGCAGAGCCATACAAAGCAGTGTGCTGGAGCTGACAGGGGAGAGATCTGTATTGTTTACATACAGTTCTCTCCCCCTGTCGGTATTACTTTACAGCCGAGGCCATGAATGGCAGCACGGATAGGATGCGCGCATGGCGTTCGCACATCCCCTACCTGGCAATGCAAAATCACGTGTATATATATATATATATATATATATATATATATATATATATATACGTGATTTTGCGCACCTCTGCCGCCCTGTAGCAGTATTTCTGCTATAGGGCGGCGGTAAAGCGGTTAATAGACGTGGCTCTAAATAGAAAATCATGTGGTCCCCTTGAAGATTTATCGCACTGTTTCTTTTGAGTTTCATGTGCCTAAAGTGAAGTCATTTCTTTGTTTATTTCCTCTTGTGACATTTCTATAATTGTATCTTCCTCTCCTGGCAGAATTTGTCGAGGACAATACGAAGTTGCAGCTCGGCATTACAGTTAGTTGCAGCACAATCGCCGTCATCGCCATCCTTATATTCACAGCTGTAGCCATTTTCCTCGGATACCACAAGAAATGTGAGTGTTGGACCAGCCTATTACCAATCATTCTGTTCAGGAGGTCGTATGAAATCTTCGTCAATGACACGACCTTCCACCAGTCCAGACTATTATAATAAATCAGAAATCAGGGAAAATGTGTAAACTAAAGTATTTTAACCCAATTCCACCTACTGTCTCCCAAACTCTTCTGCTCTCCTTCATACCCAACCATTAGAGGGAACATGGAGGTGACCCCACTGTGTAGCAGATCCAGGCCACCAATCACAGAGGAGAATGGGGGGGGGGAGCATGGTGATCTAATATCTACCCAGGATAGGAGGCCCCAAGACAATGGCGGATTCACTGATTGAGAACTGGCCTACATGCTGTGGAAAAACACAGATGAGGACCCAAAACTAGATAAAGTCTGCAGGAGATCTAGATGTAGAGCCTAACGTCTTAAGGAGAGAAGAGAATTTGACCTTCAATCACATGTAGGAGATATTGCCATTTTTGTAATATCTGTTAATACAAATTAAAGATATTCTGGCACACAGAGGTTTGGCATCCAGCATATAGGGCATGTAAACAGCATATCGGGCAACAAAAATGAAACGGTGACCATAAATAGTCCATAAAATACATCAGTCTTAATCGGTCTTAATGTGGGATGGGGGGTACAGTCATGTCCGCCATCCTCAGAGTTCGGTCCATCTTTGTAATTCCTGTGCATATGATTGGATGCTTGAAGTGATTCAGATTCTCTTCGGACCCGTCAACAGGCCCTTATTATCGTCACGGACTTCACTTTCTCTGGTAGAGCAGAATAAGAAGCCCATTGGGAAATGATGGTGGCCACTTCTAGGAGTGATAGTTACACGGGTTGTATGGATGTAGCATCAATAATCAAATAGGAGTTGTGATTCTTAGATAATATTGCAGTTTTCTTCATCAACCCCTCAAATGGGTCTCCAGACAGCATGGCCTCCATGACAGAGGCACAGTGACACCCTCTCATGCCTTCTCATGCCTATGGCAAAGCCTGTATAACACTTGGTTTGTGTTGACAAATTATGCAAAGCGAGTAGAAAGCATTCAGAAAAATTATTTTTAAGGGGCAGATGTGTTGAAGGCAGTCAATCAATTGGCCTGATTATTGCACCTGATTATGGTTACTGTGAACAGGTCATATAGGAATGATTGGGATTTGAAGGTGTGAAGAGGCCTTTCTTGACCTATGTAGGGTCTTTGTGTAATATTGAATTGTCTCTTCTCCTCCTCCAGTGTTTGATTGTCTTCTGCTGAGGATGATGGGAGATAAGGACGTCCACATCTATTGTATAGCAGAAGGTAAAAATTATTAATACCATATAATCATAAAGAGGGGAAAATACAGTGCATCCAGAAAGTATTCACAGCGCTTAACTTTTGCCACTTCTGTCTGACCACTCTACCATACAGGGCTGATTGGTGGAGTGCTGCAGAGATGGTTGTTCTTCTGGAATGCTCTCCTCTCTCCACAGAGAAACGCTGGAACTCTTTCAGAGTGACCATCGGGTGCTTGGTTACCTGCCTGACTAAGGCCCTTCTCCCTCGATCACTCATTTTGGCCAGGCAGCCCGTTCTAGGAAGATTCCCGGTGGTTCCAAAATTCTTCCATTTACGGATGATGGAGGCCACTGTGCTCATTGGGACCTTCAATGCTGCAGAAATGTT